TTTTTTTTAATACTTGCTAGATGGTTCACTGCTCTCTGTTAACCAAACGGTTGGTGATGCAAACCCAGAGACAGCACTGAAGAAAGTTCTGTCAGTCAAGCCACTCCCTTGAACACTTTATGGAGCAGTTTCACTTTGCTAAACACATGGGGTCAACATGAGTTGAAACTGGCTGACAACAACTAACATCAATAATAAATATGTATCTTAACTTTGTGCCTAATATTGCACTGAGCAAGTTTTCAGATACTTAGAGGAAATCAAAGTTAACATCTAGTTTTAATCAAGACATTCAGTTCTGTACACATTGAACATCTACTCTGAGCAAGTGAAAGTCTTGGAAAAGTTGCTATCAAAAAGATGGATGATTTGATTGTCTGTGAGTTGAGAGCTTGGTGGATGAGATGGGATTTGTTTGTAAATAATATGAGGAAACAAATGGTAAATATGATAATGAGGGAGAACGTGAAAAAGCTCCAAAGGACCAGGAGGAACAAAAATGTCGGAAAATTCAAGATTAATTGATTTATCAATTTAGAAAGGCAAAGATGAGGTTGAGGACTTAAAATAGCAAGTAAAAAATAGGGAGTAAACAAATTATGAATCTGAACTACATGTTTGTTTATTTTCCAGTTTGTTTATTTTATCTAATGAGACAGTAAACATCTGGAGTCATTTGCTGGGCTTCTTTCTCTTCTTCACGTTGGGAATATATGACATGACATCTGTGTTACCTTCAGCGAGTGCATCCAGAGAAGATTTTGTAATTTGTTCTATTTGTCTTTTCTGCTTCCAGGTAAGTCATTTCACAAACACTGTGATTAGTCAACTGGACTTTAGTCAGGCAAACGTGGACAAGTGACCTCACTTTAAACTCATTTATTGCTTTAAAGAACTTCCAAATTAGCATATAGGTCAGTTCATTTCCTTTCATAATCTAAGCAGAAAATATTATGAGAGTTAGACTTGTAGGATATTAGGAGGATGTATTTGAAATCCAGTAAGTTTTAATGATGGAAAAAAATATCTTTTAATCTTTGCTTTAAAATTAATGCAAGACTAGCATAGACTATTTTACAAAGAATACTAGTGTCTGTTTAAAAGTTCGTTAGAAAGATTTATTTTTCCTATTTACATGTCAAATTTTTAAAACTTTATTTCTGTACCATCTTTGATAATGTTCTGTTACATTAGTACTGATCTTTTCTATTCCTAAAATGTTAATTTTATCCTTCCTTTGATCTTATTTATACTTTGCTGCTTTCAAGAAGTTTCTCCTTCTACCTTCTGTGTGTTAGTTCTTTAGTACTTTGTTCGTAAAGTACTTTAAAATATAATACTAAGCCTTCAAAATAGAACCTGTAAAAGTATTATTAAAAATGCTGTGGTTAGATTTTCAAAGTTAATTATAACTAAGAAAATAAATGTGGACCATAATATTGTTGACATTTTAAGAGTAAAGAGTTAAGTTTTAAAAGAGTTAAAAAGTTTTAAAAAAATTTAAAAATGAAAGGAACAAGCCATGTTCTCCCTTGCTCCAGTTCTCGACCATCAAGCCCTGTAGTTAATCGTTGCTACTTACTTTGTTTGTTGTAGAGAGATTATACATTAACTACATAGATGTTTTCATTATACACCGTTTTATTTCATATCTTAATAGCTTTAGTTCATGACTTTATGTAAATTAATGTTTTGGAAATAAGTGGCCAAGAAACATTTCCCTTCCCCTTTTTTTTAAATTCTAAAGTATTTAAAAATTCTGGGAGAGAAACTTTTTTTTTTCCCCCTTCAGGTGTACTATTCTGATTAGAGTAAAACTGTCTCTTAAATTCCATTGCCAGTTTTATAAGGGAAGTGACGCTGTTTCTTTAGAATTACTTTTTTAGTTCTTTGCATAGACTGTTGCTGTTGTTGTTGTCATGTACTGTTGAGTTGGAACCAACTAATAGCTGACCCTCCAGCAAGGTTTCATAGGCAGTAAATCACGTGAGAGGGGGTTGCCTATCTTTCTCCCATGGAGCAGCGGGTGGATTCAAATCACATGCCTTTGTGTGACTAGTGCAGCTCTTTACTACTAAGCCACAGTGCTCCCTTCACGTAGACTACGGTGCTCTTAATCACTAATAAATTTAAAAAAAAAACCATTTATATCATTACTCTGTGCACAACACTGAGATCCATGTTATTCCTCTCTTTTGTGCTTTTTATCACTTCACTACTAGTCTGAGCTGAGCTCAGTGCATTTATTCTTGATGTTAGTTTACTTATGTTGTATACTGGCTAATACTTACTTGAAAAACTAAAAACTGTAAATAATTACAGCTTCTAATGAAAAAGTAACCTCAAAGTATGACAGTGGAAGATTATTAAGCAGGAAAGTAATACTGCCCTAAAGTAGTGATCTATTACTTGCTCTACATAAAATTTGCTAAAGACAAATGAGCACAACTTCTCTACTTACGTAACACAGTCTCATAAGGACAAATACTGTATAAGACCAATATTGTAAAAATAGGTAACTATTAAAACATGTGACCAATATTGTAAAAATAGGTAACTATTAAAACATGTGACCAATATTGTAAAAATAGATAGGTAACTATTAAAACATGTATGGTAACTCAAGGTAGGGAGCAGAAGGGTGAAGATAGGAGGGGGGAAGTAAATGGGAAGAATCTAGGCAAAAAGACAGGATAATGATGGGCAAGGTCCAATGGTGATTATTTTATGAAACATAAGGCATGAGAATGAATGTATGAAACAATGTAAATGAAGAATCGTGTGAAACACAATATATAGAATCGTGTGAAACACAATGTATATGAACTTTGTAAACAAACCAATAAAATTTTTAAAAATTTCTCTACTTAAGGAGACCATTTATTTTCTTTCTATGAAATTACACGTATAACTGGTTCACTGATATTTATCAAATTCTCGAGATCAGTGAGCAGAAGAGGAAAACTTTGATTTATATTTAATTTTTGTTATAAAACCATTTTTTTATTTATACCTATTTTAAGTTCTGATACTTTCCAAATTACAATATAACCTAGTTTAGGACAACCTGCATTTATGGCAGTTCTTATATATTTTATGATTACTAATATGTTGCAGCAAATAATTTGCTGATGTTATCATTCTCAGGGACTTGGCTTTGTGATTTACTATTCAAAACACTACTGTATATAAAAACTGATACTGAAAGATAATTACTATGGACTCTTTGGAATGAAATTCCATCAAGGACTACCTGTACTCAGTACTTTCCTCCAAGTAGGCTTAATAGAGTACAGTTTGAATAGTAGGGTGTAATTTTAAGGACTAGGAACTTTTCCAGAGATAGTTGCATGTGAGAAGAACAGGATATAAGAGACTGGGAAGAGCGGGCTAAGAATGTCTTATCAAAAAAAAAAAGTCTTATCCTCAAATGCATTCATTTATGTGTTTTTTACATTATGATTTAGTAATTATAGTGATATAATAAGGAGTAGCATTGTCAACTCAAAGGCACACAGTTCAAATACACCAGCTGCTCTGAGAAAGAAAGATGAGTGGTCTCCTCCCATAAGATTTATGCTTCTACAAACCCATTGAAGGGTCAATTGTGAGTCAGTTCCAGCCTGACAGATATAAATGTGCATCAGAGCTGTATCTTTTCTCCATACTTACTCAATCTGTATGCTAAACAGATCATTCAAGAAGCTAAACTTTATGAAGAAGAATGTGTCATTAGGTCAGAGGACGATTCATCAGCAGCCTAACAACATGCATTACACAGACACAACCTTGCCTGCTGACAGTGAGGAGTACTTGAAACAGTTGCCGGAGAAGGTCAGCCTTCAATATGGATTACAACTTAACATCAAGAAAACAAAAATCCTCATCCCTGGGCCAACAACAGCATCATGATAGATGGAAGTTGTCAATGATTTCATCTTAGTTGGATCCACAGTCAACACCCTTGGTACTTGTAGCCAAGAAATCAAAAGACGAGGCACCCTTGGTACTTGTAGCCAAGAAATCAAAAGACGAGGCAGCACAGCCTGGCCAGGGGGTGGCAATCATGGCCGTGGAGGATGAGCAAAGCTTCTCTGGTATCTGCGGTGGCCTTCTGGCCTTGCAGCTCCACCAGTGCTCTTCATCCTGCGGGGAGTTCTGCATTAGCTTCCCTCTGCTCTCCTGCTCGCTCACTGCCGTCACCTGTGCTGTGTGGCTGGTGGCCTATGGACTCTTCACCCTCTTTGAGCAGGCCATCCTTATCACCCTTTTAGGCCTGCTGGGCTATCTCCATTTTGTAAAGATTGATCAAGAGACTTTATTAATCATTGATTTCCTGGGCATCCAGATGACTTCATCTTACACCTCTGGCAAAGAAAGTACCACTTTCATTGAGATGGGCAAGTTAAAGGATATTGTTATTAACAAGGCTGTTTACGAAGGTGATTTACTACCTCTGCGTTTTATTGAAGGATCCAATAGAACCACATGGGATATCCCAAGTAGTACCTGTCTTCCAGAGTGCCAAGCCAGGCTGGACTGCTTGACTGAAGTGTACAGGAGCTCCCAGGAGATCTGGCACAACAGAAACCCACATCAACAAGCCCATGAGTCTCAGCATTCAAAAGGCCAATATTGCTTCTGTGGGAGTTGACTCTTATACATAGTGGTTGGTTTGTTTTCTGTATTCTAAACCACCAGCTGGACACAGTCCTAGGAACCAGTGTTGGACAGATCTCAGAGCTATAGAGCAGGTGACTGGAAGCCTATCTCATCGTGTGATGTCGAGCAACAAATTTCTGTGTATTTTAGCATTTTAGTATTTAGTTTTTTAACATTCCCTTGTAAGGCTTTGCGTACTTCAGCAACTGAAGGGAGACTTTTAAGAAACAGTATGTCAGAAAATATCAGCAAAGTGCGCTTTTCTGAAATTCCTAAGTACACTCCATTTACTTTTTGTTGAAATTTGTGCAACAAGATAGGGGAAAATTAATACCAGATGTCTGGAGAAAAGCATCACCTCCAATTGTATGTTGTTGTTGTGATGTGCCGTCAAGTTGTCTGCGACTCATAGTGACTCTGTGTACAACAGCTCTGAACTGAGCTCTATTCTGAGCCAACCTTATTATTTCCAACACACCTACCCCCATTACCCCAGTCACCGAGTCAATCCATCTCATCAAGGGTCTTCCCCTTCTGCGCTGTCCCTCCACCCTCCCAAGCATATTGTCCCTCTCCAAGGACTGATCTCTCCTTACATCATGTCCAAAGTATGTCAGACGGAGCTTCAGAATCCTTTCTTCCAACCAAGGAGCAGCTGGCTTCACCCTCTGCAGGATGAACCTGCTTGTTCTCTTAGCAGTCCATGGTATATTCAGTACTCTTCTACAGCATTAGTACCCATTTATAAGTTATTTAAAAAAAAAAAAAGAGGAAAGCCCATCATGTATGGTGTAACAGAAAGAAAAGTCCTACACAAGACTATTATTCTCAGTTTACCTAACTCCTGTGTTCTGTACAGGGATAATTTATAATTCTTAATAAATAAATCTCAAAAGACTAGTCACGTTGGGGAAATCTGCTGTAAGGGACCTCTCCAGAGTACAATATAACAGTAATGTCAATTTAAGACTAAAGTGCACCTCATCCAAGCCATGGGCTTGTCAGTTGCTTGCTCTGCATCTAAAAGCTGGACAGTGACAATGGATGACAGAAAAAGAATCAGTGTCTTTGAGTTGTTATGTTCGGAAAGAGGGCACTGAATGTCCCATGAACTGCCAAGAAAACAAACAAGCC